GCTAATATCATTATTAAAAATTCCTGCCTCTTGTCAGAAGTCAGTACGGTCCGTTGTTCGTTCCGAATTAAGCGGGGAGCACACACTTCTGCACAACGCATAATGCGTAAGCATAAGAAAACTGATTGGTCTATTTCCTTATGCACATGTGTGTGGACCAATCAATTTTCTTATGCTTACGCATTATGCCCGGTCTACAATGGATGTCGGAAGTCGGAGTCGTTAGAAATTGACCAATCACAGTTCATTATTCTTCGACCGCAAGGAGAATAATAGATTGTGATTGGTCAATTTCTTACGACTCCGACTTCCGACATCCATTGTAGACCGGGCCTTATGCGTTGTGCAGAAGTGTGTGTCCGGGCCCTTAAGGCCATCGCACACAAAATGCATAGCTTAGCATAAGCGTAGCATAAGATCGCGTAGCTACACTATGCTTATGTATTTTTATGTAGATTGAAAATTCAGAAGCCATAGGCAGTATGCAGACACCATAGCGCATGCGCATATGGCTTCTGCATTCGTGCTTATGGCTCCTGCAATTTTATGTGCTTCCACCTAAGAATTCAGTACGGTTAGTTACAATGTAGGGAATTCTCTGCTCTGCCAAAGCTCTTCCAATGCACGCATTGATTAAATCGGAACGACTTTCTATGCAGTCTACGCACTTCATGCGTAACTCGAAACGGACCCAAAGAATGTGGACTACGCGTCTTGCTCTTCAAGTAATAACATTCAACAGTATCATTTCTTTCTTCAAAAATTTGATTAATTTTTTGTAGTTGTTTATAACTGATCTTTGCCCGACGAGAAATTCAATATAATTTCATGTTTAAGAATTGCACAAATTCTACATATGAATACTAAAACCGAAATTTTAATAACTTATTTAATATAATTTTTTTAGTAATACATGTTTAAATGTTGGAACGATTATGGATCTGGATGTACAGAATGCAACTCCATCAACAAGCAAAGAAGAAAATTGTAATGGGTAATAATAAAAGACTTAATTATTTTCATAAAGGCTTAGAAAAAAAATATACAGTGAAAAAGGCTCAGTTATAGTAATCCAGGCTTGGTTAATATGTTAATATGTTACCAAGCACCTTGTAAAATAGTTTTAATTAAACGTATAGGTAATTGTGATAAAATAATTTGGTTAATATTAACAAATAATTCTAGCAAAACCTGATATGATTTGGTTAATATTGGCAGAATTTGATAATTATTACCAAGAGATGATAAATGTAACCAAATTGCTTACTAAATAATTGAGTAACTGAGCAACAAATCAATCAGATAAGGCTTTTAAAGACAATTTAGTACTAATTATCAAACTGTGTTTGTTAAATTATCACTTAAACTTGAGTAATTATCACGAAATTGTTTGATAATAAGTAGGTACTACTATAATTTAGTTGACTCAATTAAACGCAAAATTTGCTCTTTTAAAATGTTTATAATTATTACAAAATGTTTTGTTATTATTATTACAATTGGTAATAATAATCAAGTATAAAAATAACTATTATTAAATGCATCTCACAACCAAGAATTTTTTTTCAGTGTATCGATATTATAATTTCTTTAGAACACTTTGAATACCTATTTGAATATTGTAATAAAATTAACATTCTCTAACTAAATTATACCTTTTTCAGTAATTTGCAATTACCTGGACGTATAATGGGTAATGATGCTGAAATTGCTGGACCGTAAGTTTATTTATTTATTATACTCAAATCTATATATCTCTTTATTTTACTATGTAATCAAAACTATAAATGCTCATAGGCTGCAGTCTACTTAACGCTACAAATGATTCAAAGCATTCGTCTTCTTTTTTCTTTCAATAAAGAAAGAAGAAGACAGTTAAAGAACGCTTTGAAGCACTTATATAGTGGTTTATATGTTTATATCAAATGGACCACAGCCTTAGTTAATATCTGATGTAGAATTTTGTGCAATGATTTATATTACACTTTATCTTTTATAAATACATGTCGCATATATTGCTATTTCTTGTTATTTAATATATTAAGTTATATGATTGCATAATGCATTACATTAAATTAACATATATTATTTGAAATAATATAATAGAAACTTTACTTATTTTTATCAAGCAATTGCGTTATTTTTATTTATAATCTATTATTGCATGTTAATTAATCTATCTTTCCAATCTGTAAAAAATTTAAATATTTTGTGTGTGCAGGGGTACATCTAGCACACGTACGAAGGCATCCCAGCAAGCAAATATATCTTCCGACAATTCCCTTCGAAAAATGGAACTAAGATTAAAGAACAAGAAATTGAAAGCGCAAATTAAAACGCTGCGAGAAACAATTAGACGCTTACGAAAAGATGAAGGGCGTAACTATAACAGAAGAAAACCAGCAAACGCAGAGGATGCGGATCAATTTGAGACTCTGTGTATAATAGGAAGTAAGTTATTACCTGTAAGGTTTGTCAAATTATTATTGGCACAAATTAACGCGCAAGTTAAACGTAATCGTGGTAGAAGGTACGATCCTCAATTTAAAAAATTTGCGTTATCTTTATATTTTTTAAGCCCGCGAAACTATAGAGAATTAAAAAAATCAATTTCATTACCTTCAGTACGTTCTTTACAATTATTAACTCAAATGTGGAATATTACACCTGGTTTAAACGATAAGATTTTTGATGCTTTAGCATTAAAAATAAAGTCATTGCCTCCTATGGACAGACATTGTATTTTATGCGCAGATGAGATGAGTTTAAAATCTCATTTGTTTTATAATGTATCGCAAGATGAAATTATTGGGTTTGAAGATAATGGAAAGGAAAAATCGTCTATACCTGCAAAAAGCGTTTTTGTTATAATGGCACGTAGTATTGCAGGCAATTGGAAACTTCCCTTATGTTACTGTTTTGTTGAAACTACATGTCGGAATAATGTTTTAAAAAATATAATATTTGAAACAATAATTAAATTAAGAATGAGTGGTGCAATAGTACATGCATTAGTAACTGATATGGGATCTAATTTTATCCATTTATCTCGTGATCTAGGAATTTCGACAGAAAACTCAACCTTTTTAGTTGAGGAGGAAAAAGTACTTTACCTTTTTGATACTCCTCATTTATTAAAAGCAACACGTAATAATCTCTTAAAACATGATTTTCAGTTTAATAATAAAATAGCATCATGGACTCACATTGTTCAATTTTATACAAGAGATAGCAAACAATGGATAAAATTTGCACCTAAATTATCGAAATGCCATATTGAACCCAGTGGTTTTCAAAGAACGAAAGTAAAACTTGCTGTCCAAGTATTTAGTAATCGTGTCGCTGCAGGCATGTGTACGCATATGTCTTCCGGATCACTTCCAAGTGAAGCAGTTGGAACCATTGATTTAATAGATCATTTCGATAAATTATTTGATATCTTAAATTCTTTTACTGCAACTAACTTAAAACAATATGGGAAAGTTTTTACCGGAAGTGAAACACAACTTCAGTTTTTAGAAAAAATAATATGTTTTTTGAAATGTATTAAAGTAATTGATAAAAATGGTACTTATGTAAAAGTAAAATGTTTTGAATGCTGGCAGATCACGATTAAAAGTACAATAAAACTTTGGGAAATATTAAAATGTTATAATTTTCCATACTTGAGAACACGTAGGATTAATCAAGATTGTCTCGAAAATTTCTTTGATTCGATTAGACAACAATGTAATTCTTCAAATCCAACACCTATACAATTTGTACGCGCTTTTAAAAAACTGTTTAGTATTACATTTCTGAAACATCCAGATACGCAAAATTATGCTCCAGATGAAGATGATATGTTAAACCTAATTGGAACGCCAAATTCTATTTCATCTACCGTATCTGAATTTGTTCCATCTTCAACGTGTACAATTTTAGAAATCCCAAATCCTGATTATTATACAATGAATCTGCCAGAAAAAAATGCATTTAAATATGTATGTGGATACCTAATAAAAAAATGTTTAGAAATACATTCATGTGATACATGTATAGCTTATGTAAATAAAAACAAGGCTTTAGATGATACTTTAGATGATACAACATTATATTCTTCATTTCGAGCTTATGAAAACAATGAAACAAACTTGTTCGGAAACTTACATATAGCAAGCGATGATTTCTCTTTATACATATATAAATTAGAAGAAATATTTGTGAAAAATTTAAAAAAAAATTGTTTTCAGAAAAATATTGGCGGTTACTTATTTCAGCTTGCGCAAGATATAATTTTTGGACCGCCATGTCCGCATTTTCCTACAATATTTCTAATAAAATTATTTTTGCGTATGCGTATTTATTTTATATTATTAGAACATAATAAATCATGTAAAGGAATTAATAGGAAAAATAGAAAACTTTTGAATATTCTACATCTATAAATATCCTTTTTGATCTTTATTTTATATCTGTATCTAGCCTTGTTTTTATAAGTATTAATGTAATTACATACATATTATTATATTTAGATTTATTATTATCATTTTTATTTTTTTATTATTATATTATTTTTGTTTCTTCGTCTTTGTCTTTCTCTTTTTTCGATTCGTATCGAGGTGGATCGAGTAGCTGAGATACGGATAGATGAGGGTAGGTGGGTGAAAAGAAGAAGTATATTTATATAATATTATTAATATTAAAATTACAATACGCAAATTATATTTAGTTTATAATATTATAATAATCCAATTTCTTTTTTATAATAGCATTATCAGTAAATTATGTATTCATTATTTGTAAACATTTATTTAAGTATTTATAAAACATATATTATAAAATAAAATATGAAAATTTTTAAATATATTGGTCATATTAATTATCATAAAAAATTGTGTTTATTATTACAAAAGTATGTATTAATATGTATATGTAATATTCAATGCGTAATCTATCGATACATCGATATTCAGCGCTTCCACTCGTGGGGTGAAGTTATCAATTCATTTGAATTTAGCCCATCCACTACCACCCACCACCCAGGAACGTTGTCGGCGCCGAACGAGCCTTATTGCGTTTCACGATTATTCGCTCATTTTATCAACACGTCGTGGGTATAATGGAACGTCGCCGGGAAGGCGCACGAAACAACGGGCAAGTGTCGCATTGTGTAGACCAGTGTAGACTTGCGGACTGAATGATTAGCCGCGATTTCCCGATCGGCTCGTGTCCGTGCGAGACCGCGAAAAGGCCAAGGTAGTATCATGGCGGCGCGATTCGCGCGGATACGTTTATTTCTTATATTCACTATTATTATTTACTACTACTTATTATTTATGCGATTTTACGGTGTTTTCGAATATGATAAATTTCCATGACAAATCGATTATAATACAAATAATCATAGATTTACAATCTAAAATAAAAATTCTCATAATTCTTTCAGGTGGGGATAATACGAAGCTATTATTCTTCGTCGGACATAACGTCCACATCGAACTTTAGGCCGGTCCCGTAGAGATGCTCCTCCGTCCATTTATCGAATCGTCGAGCGAGATCCTCGGACATGTAATTCGTCCAATCGCCGACTTTGCCCTTTCTGATAAACTTGAAATTCGGATCATTGTTCAGTTCATCCTTGTCATCTAGCAGCTGTTTGAGCTGTTGTATGTTCACCGATGGATTTTCCGCCATTTTGGAAAATTTCAGGTGTTCGCGCAGCCCGATAACTTGTTCGTCCGTCACGGTTTTGCCTAAATATTTCGCTGTCTTTTTAATCGCCGCCACTTGATCCTGCGAAGAGCAACGCGCGTTTTAATAAGAGAAATCTGTGAAGATAAAAGAAAAAAACGCGTGCTTTACCCGTTTCATTTCTTCATACGTCAGAAACAGCATGTTATCTTGATTTCGCATCTTCCAGAAGGGCAGAATATGATCCCAAAATGGAGCGTACGGCACTAAACAAACATTATTTTTCAAATTTAATTTTAAGGAGGTAATTGTAAGGAGAATAAGAAATGTTGACTTTAACATTTCTTATTTTCCTTACAACTTTCTTAATTTTAATGCTAATTTTGATTTTTTTTTAATATTTCAGAAATGACGTCATTTTCTAATTCATGCATGTTGTTTAACGTACCACCATCACGCAGCATCAATTCTGCAAAATCGTTGAAGCTTCCATTCATACCGTGGAATACTCTGCAATAATGGTAATAACTGACACAGACGTCTTTTGGATTTCTCGTCACATAAATTATCTGCGAAAGAGGAAAATCGACATGTTATAAAGGGAATAATCACGATTTTACATTTGTACGTTGCGTCATTACTTTTGGCTTTTTCTCGTGAAGTTGCCTTGGCAATAAGTCCCATGGCAGGTGACTTTTTATGTATCGTGGTCTTGGCATCTTTGTTACATTTTCGACGGAGTCGCCTAGATAAAGATCTTTGAACCAATCATCAAATTTTCCATTGACCATGATAACCGAACCCCTACAGAGAGAAAAAATAGGAGAACGATTAGGATAACATAATTTCTCTTACAAGAGTTACAAATGTGTACAAAATATTAAATCGAATTGACTTACTCGAGAGTAGGACTCCGCTTTAGTATGAGCGTGCGGGCTTTTTCGTAATCAAAATCGTGGCCGATGCACCACGTCATTTCCTGTGCCCAGTGACTTCCTAAAATTTATTTTTATCAAGAAGCGACATTTAAGAAAATAAAGCTAACACTTCGATCAAATCCCGATTAACTTAATCAGTGACTATAATTCAACCGGCAAAATTGATTACGACAGATAACTCCGAGTTATTCTGTCTATGTATTAAATATATAGTAAAGAGTTAGTATTCTGTCCGCATTAACAAAATATCTTAGATATTAATGGATCAATTAATTGCCGATTAAGTTAATTGGCATTTGATCCAAGTCACCCTAATTACGTTATGTGGAATTAATTGCAATTTATCTCAGTTTTGTATCGCTCGTGATCGAGAAAGTCGTGTTTCGATTTTTTTCTTCCTTTTTTTTAATAATTGCGCAATCACGTTTATTTAAAATTACGCGCGTTACTGATTGTGAGATATTCACCAGTTCGAGGAAACGAGATCATCCAAATGTCATCCTCGTACACCGGCATGTCACGTATCTTCTGCGCGTAGAAAATAATTTTTGGCGGTAACAAGCAATGACTAGGTTGCACCTTCACAAAACTAGGCTTCACCCCGAATACCTCGTCTAACTTTTCTCCCGTCTCATCGTCCATAGTCGAGAACACGATCGACCCTTTACTCACTGCAAAAAAATGCAATACAAAGTCAAAGCAGTGATGATTAAAAAAAAAGGCACTCTGACAATTGTATATATTTGATATACTCACTTGTTCTTCGATTTTTATATTATGCAGATATGAAGATGCGCGAATCTGACGTGACCTCAAGTACAGACTGCACACACTCGGATGCTGTTACACACGCGACTCGCAGAGAAATGAATGTACACTCGGCCATTTGAATCCGATGACCCACTATTGGGGCTGGGGTACTTTTTACCAGTCCTTCTCCTTTTTCCTGTTTACGATGACTTTCTTACTTTCATATTTGCAACGTAAATAAAGTCGTCAATTCCGTTCATTATTTACATTGAACAAGTACTACGTACGTTTACTCTAGCGTCACTTCTGTAGTAACTTACGATAATTCTTTCGCGTAAACGGGATTTTGTATTAACTTACGATAATTTACTCCGCGTAAACGAGTGAATTATCGTAATTTACTATAGAAGTAACACTCGCGTAAACGTAATAACAGGCATGTAGGAATATGCGTATAAGTATATCACGCGATTCTCTTTATCGCGAATATATTTACATCGCAAATATATTTACAACAAATACATTTGTTATTTTTTGTTTATATAACTATTGACTTTTTTCTATGTGAACCCACTGTGTGTATGTGTGTATAACCTCGCCGTTTCCTAATTTGCTTCCTGAAATAATTAAGAATATATCATCATAAGTACGGAGTTAGATGTGCTAGGATTTCAGCAACTCTCAGTTTACAAATAATTTTATTCACAGGGAGTTTTAAATTCAATTAACAGATTACAGACTGCAAAATTAAAAACAAAAATAGAAAATTATATTCAGCGTGATAAATAATGTATGATTTATAACTTCTTGCAGTATATTCATTATTCAGTGGATTTGCAACAATGCTAGAAAAAACATTATATTCTAATTTAATTCCTGCTGAACTTTAAACCTTTTAATTTTACCGTGTTGACATTTATATCTTATTATCGACATTTTTATATCAAGTTTAGAAAAAAGAGAAGAGAGAACATTCTCTTAATAGAAATATGCGAGGACAAATACATCGAGCACACTTTAGACGATTTATAATTCATGTTAGAATTCAGAATAGAATTTTATTTATAATATAAGCTTATCATCTAATACAAAGTATGAAAAATATTTGAAGAACCAGAAATACAATCATGAATTGAAATCTGGCACAAGCGATATCTTCCTTTTTTTTATATCCCGCTGAGATAACTCTTCATCAAACGTAAGCCGTCGTCGAAAGATTACGCGGCAAGAAATGTAAAGCGCGAGCGATATTTGAGCATGTTTGAATTATTTGCGACATTATTAACTTTCTCTGTCGAGCGAAGATTTCACTTTCAGAGAAAGTCAACCGGCTGCATTCTTATCGGGAGCCGATTGCACATCGAGTGCATTCCGCGTGATCGAAAACACCGTTTTTTTTTTCGACAACAAAAGATTATTTTTATAGACAGCAACGCAATGCGTCAACGAATTTGCTTATAGCGAATTTAAAAGAGCTGCGAAGAGGAGTCTCGCCTCCATTTTTGCCTTTATTTTCGCGATAAGAAGCCGATTTTGGTATCATATCATTATGAGAATAGAGAGGAAATTGTCGATTGAAAAATTATACCTATAATGTGTATATAACATTCCAGATAGTCACGTCTTCTAAGGCCCAATTCTACAAACATCGGTTAACTTATATTATTCTTTGTCTCTTTCTAACACGTCCCCCTTTAGAACTTTTTTAAAAAAATTAGGTGTGAAATCGATTGTATTTCGTTTGTAGATTATTGTAATGCATTAATTTTTGTTTGTTAGTTCATAATTAATTTTTAATTAATTATTTAATTGTAGACAATGAAACATGAAACTAGAGTCCTATTAGGCTAGTAAAATTAGATCTGAAAATGGCAAAACGGATTGACAAGCCAATTTTTTGAGGATGAGTATATAGAGGGTCATAGGAGAATTCCCAAATTCACAAAGTTCAAACAAAATTTCCCTGTGCGTCGGCGGCCATCTTAAAAATAGGGGTAAATATCCAAAGTTTGAATATCTCGGCTCCTATTGGTTAAATTTTTTTTTTTTGAGTTTTGCAGGGAAAAATATTTGCTACAACTTTTGTTTAAAAAAATTTTTAAGGAGGTTCTACAGATAATGGATGTATCTAAAAATTGAAAAAAACTTTATGGACGTATAAATTGAGATGCGAGAAAAGTGCTCGAAAAATTTTAGCATCGGTTACCGTGTAAAAATTTGCAAAAATGAATT